CGAAAATCGACGACTATGAAACTATGATCCCTTCCCCGACACAAACGGTACATTGTGAGACAGGAAATTGTAGAGAGAAACAAGCCCTATAACATAGGATACAACGTTTTAATGAACAGTGCTTTCCATAAAATCAATAAAATGAAAAATATCTAAAATAATATACAAGTACTGATTTCTTTCGAAAATCGACAACTATGAAACTATGAACCCTTCCCGGACACAAACGGTACATTATGAGACAGTACCCACTTTTATGCAAATGACTAATAATGTTAACGCTTAAATTTAGAAGAGATAAAATTTTGAACCTAACCAACAATTTGTATTTATAGCGGTTTACAATAATTTTGTTAAATTATAGGAATATTCTCGTCGATTATTGGTTTGAAATAAATATGACAATGACCTCCAATGTAAATGCAAGTTACTTAACTCTAATAATTATAATTCTGAGCCAGCAAATGAGATAAAATCCTTTACCTAGACAGTTATTCAGAAGCTACAAACCTATCGATAAAAATATGCATGAAAATTTACTTCCTAGCACAAAACCAGAGGATATTAGTACCCAGGTACAGTATCAACTTTAATATAATGCTTTTCCTAGCTTTAAATCAAATGTTTTTTGGTATTTATATACAGGGTGCTACAAATTCGAGGTACGAGCATTGGTATCTCGGTAACCGTAATGATACGAACATGGTTAAATTGGGGCAAAGTTGCGCTTTGTGATGTTCACCAAGATGCCATCAAAAAAGTTTTAAAAATTTCAAGGATTGCTGAGTTTTTTGAAAAAAAAAACGGATTTTTTTGAAAATCAATTTTATTTTTTCCTGTCTTTACTTTTAAGAAAATCAAAAAACTAATTACACATTCTCATAGTCACTTTATTAGGGCTATCTGACAGTATTTTTAGATTTTCAAATTAGCTGATAATTTGTGAGATACAGAGGCCAACTTAATTTTTTATTTTCGATTTTGAAAGAACTCGGTCTCCTGAATAAAATTATATGCCACACTTTATACTTTTTTTTGTTTTGGGTACCTTAACAACAAAAAAACTATTTAATTATTATTTAAAATAATTTCAAGTCCGACTCTGTTTTTTTAATTATTTAATCTGATTATATTTATCGTAACAATATTGATCAGCGCTAATTAACATTGAAGAAGGAAAATCGAGCCAATTGGAAAATTCAAATAAATTATATCCAGGTCAGCAATTTAAAGATATTATTTTTATTATTTTTAGTTTTTTTTATTGTGAATTTGAAATCTCAGTGTGCTCAACTTCTATAAACTAGTTTCTAATGTTCTACGGAAGGGTTACAACCCTCCCTATTGCACACATTTATTTTTAGCTCTTTGAACTTGCTTCTTATACTTCCGAAAGCATCTTGTACTCTTTATTGTAAATGTTGAGATGTATTGATTTCATTGTAATTGTGAATGTATTCATTTGTATATTATTTTTTATTATTTTATTGCATTTGATTTTCAATATTCAATGTTTCACCCCACGTCATTTTTAAGTTTGAAAGCTTGTCGATATTGTAACGATGAATAGATTAAATATTAAAAAAAAACAGAGCCGGACTTGAAATTAGTTTAAATAAATTGTGTTCAAATGTCCAAAACAAACAAAAATATTAAGTGTGGCATATCATTGTACTCAGGAGACCGAGTTCTTTCAAAATCTGAAATAAAAAATGCAGGTCCGTATTTAAAAAAATTAAGTTGGCCTCTGTATCTCACAAATTATCAGCTAATTTGAAAATCCAAAAATACTGTCAGATAGCCCTTATAAAGTGGCTATGAGGATATGTAATTAGTTTTTTAATTTTCTTAAAAGTAAAGACAGGAAAAAATAAAATTGATTTTCAAAAAAATCCGTTTTTTCCAAAAAAACTCAGCCATCTTTGAAATTTTTAAAACTTTTTTGATGGCATCTTGGTGAACATCCCAAAGCGCAACTTTTACTATGTTCGTATCTATTACGGTTACCGAGATACCATTGCTCGTACCTCGAATTTGTAGCACCCTGTATACTAATTTTTACTCCCATCGCATGTAAAGAAGTTTCACTTCAAAAAGTATCTTATTTACATTTACAGCTATTAACGACAAATATAACTTAATTTGATCAACGCATCACATCAGGTATTTTGCCGTATTTTGTTAACACTAAACTGCATTAGCTTGAAAAATTAGGAACTATGTCAGTCCAAAATAATATTTCATTTCTTAAAATACTTTATTCCTTTTAATAAATATATAAATGTTATCTGTAAAGCGAATTCTATTTAGTAGATATATTTTTCGATGGCGTCCTTTAACAGATTATAATAGGGAAAATGTAGCAGCAGCACAAAACGGATGCGCGTTGTATTTTGTCACTGTAATCTGTATAAAGTATGATTAAGTCGCGAACGTATTACATTCACGGCGGGGGGGCCCGGATTGCGGGGCGTAGCCCGAAGACAAATAACCACCGAACGGGCGGCGCATTAATGTGGCTTAGACGTACTCGTTTTCGTTTTATGCGTTTTTTTTTGGTTTCTTCCATTTTCAATTAGAGCCTAACGAGTATTTCCGAAGGGCACTATATAAAATATAACGCCGAACTTTTGTGCATCGTTGGAACTGAAATGTATATCGGATAAAAATGTCTAGTTCAAAGGTATATATTCAATTGTACAATAAATTTTTAAGATTTAATTAGTGGGGCATAAAAATGAGAATAAAAATACCTGGTGACAATTACCTAAATCATAATAATTCCAAAAATAGTATACAAAATAAAAAAAGGTTTGTTAACACGTACAAAGTACGGGCTTCTCGATACGTATTTATATTCAAATCAATAAATATGTTACAGCAAAAGCCGGAAATCAGAGAAGTTAAACTTACTAGTATACCTAAGGTGACGTTCACTGATTTGCTAATATTAGGCCAGTAAAAGTCCAATAATTAATTTAAAAAAAAAGCATTTACTAGTGAATATTGCAAAATAGAACTAATTTGCCACAATACACCAAAACAATTTACTTTTGCACTGGACGCGCTTTTTGCTAACCACGTTAACATCATCAGCAGATGATTAAAACTAACATGGTTGGAGAAACGCGCGGCCATTGTAAAAGTAAAGTACTCTTGTGTATTGTGGTGAATTAGTGTTTTATTCTGCTGTGGTAACACCAAAGGTTCTAAAGCGAATGCTATTGTAATTCGCTTTGATTTTTTAATAGTTTTTAGCGGCTTTCATTAACTTAATATTCATAAATCACAATCAGAGCGTATAGATTAGTAATGAAAACCGATTAATTTCAATAATTGAGTACTGGAGTTTCAAGCGATTGCAATAACCGAGTGATCGCTCGAGCGAAATATCACTCGTATTTAAAAATAGAGTTTTTCACCCGTCGCTTGTTGTAAGTACTCGTTAACGCCAAGCGCCAAGCAGTAGGTAAGTTGCGTGCGCAGTGATGAATGGCAAGTAGCAAGCGGCGAGCGATTCGCTTGATTTAGTTTATTTCAAAGCATTGTCGATGTAGGTCGTAAAACTTTGTCCCTCAGATACGTAACAGATAAATATATACGGCGTCGTATAAATTTGCTACCTGCAATGTATGCTCGAAACTTCGCTTTTTATCGAGTATGTCACATTAAAATCGAATTTCAATTTACTTCATTCTAGGATCGCGTGCGCTCGTCGCTTGGTCACTTGCATCGCTCGTTCATAACCGAGCCATGTCGGTTATTTCAATAATCGATTACTCGAGCAAATTTTCGCTCGCGTTATCCCTTCACTAGTATAGATACAGTAGCTGGCCGAAGATTTAACATGAGACATTCAATTTTAAAATCAAGACATTGAAAGCACAATGAAATTTATATTAAAATTTACAAAAAATAAGGGTTTAAACCAAAGAAATCAAAACTCATTTGTACCCGGCAGCGACTAAATGATTGATATTTTTTAAGGCTAAGTAAAAAGATAAATAATGGTGGATATTAGTGGATTTGGTTACATGTCTAAGAGGGGAATCGCTGTGGCAATCTTAGAAGGAGAAAGAAAAATGCGAATTTTTTATTACATCATCCCTTAATTCGACGCTATATTTCATGCATTCTGGAAAATACTTGCCCTTCTTTCTTTGTTCAGTACATCATATTGTACTGAGCGTATTAACTATACTCCTTTTACTCACGAAAATTGGCACCCTACGCCACACCTTGCCGAACGATAATTAAATTGAGAGTTATTTAGAGATATTTTAACAGAAGTTACACTCTCATAAATTTAGAATTTAATTATCTTTACTCCTTTATTAATAAACCCGAAGTAATTCAAACGAAATTGCCAAACCAAAAATGCCAGCTTTATTTTACAATCATCTCTGCAACGTACAATACAATTTTCTAGCCAGATTTTGGAACAATTACGGAGTGGAAACTGAATATTCAAAAGAAGTTAGAGTGGTAAACTACTTAAAATCAATGAAAATGGGGAATGTACGAAAATTATATAAAACCTCAATCGATATATTGCATCGGAATCATATTTTATAACAGAAAAAAACGGATATTTGATCACGATGTGATATTCAATAAATTTTCTGATTAAATTGAACTAAATAAAATAATAATATTCCTTTAAACTATGCAAAATCTAGTTACGACACTGAATTCTGCGTAAAAACTCTATGAGACTCAGTTTTCACCTTTTCGACAAATCATAAGATAACCAGGATACCAAGGAGGTCAAAATTTTTTTTTAAATTTGTTCTGCATTTCAGGAACTAACAGGGTTAGAAGAAATCTGTGTATAGAATCTTTGGTTTCATAAAAAAGTAGAATAACAGTGATATAAAAACCGGCATCTTTGTATCTCTACTCATAAACGATAAATCCTGTAATGCACACGAAAACGAGACACTGTACGAAAGTACCAAACAAATAGTGATTTATTTGTATTATTGGCTCAATTAACTTACCTCTACATTCCTGTTCGTCTGTACCATCTGCACAGTTGCGGTCACCATTGCATCTTTCACTGATTGGAATGCACCTGTTGATATCACAACTGAACTCTCCCTGTGCGCAAGCTACATAAATAATGAATAAATTAATTATTTTTTTTACAATGACTATCCCTATAACTGTACAAACTATAATTTAGTCATGAAATCATATTCCTATTTCATTTTGACTGATTATTAGTTTACTTCTATAGTAATGTTTTAGTTAAAAAAATATATTTTTATTTAATTTAACTTTTTTTTTAAACTGTTTAATAACTTTATACACAACGTTTCGGTCAGATCTAACTCTGTAGTAGACTCTGTAACTTTTTTTTGTATTTGATAACATACAAGTTGTAGTCGTGTATGAGTATAAAGTAACTTCTGTTGGTAACTAAAATAGAAGAAAATTGAAAAGAAATAGGATTTCATGACTTAATTCTATACTTTTATGATTATATGGATGGTATAATGTCAGCAAATGTAATAGTTTACTTAGGTACTCAAAGTTATGATATGTTAGAAGTTTTATTTAATAATAATGAAATTCCAAAAATTATTTTATTAAAAAACTGTTAAAATTCAATAATATGATATAAAAAATACACAAGGCAAAGATTTTAGAAAATCAATATTAAAAAAATACAAAGAAATTATCCTATGTATTTTTAACTTTTAAAAAGTGAGTCTCTCAAAACTAAAAAAAATGTCTTAGTATATTCTACCTTTGTATGTAAGTATATATTTTTTGTAAATAAATATTCTTAAGAAAAATAGTCAAAAAGTATAGTAGTAGTAGATTTTTATAACTACTACTTTATAATTTAACAGATTAGTAATCATTACTTTGAGCTTGTAAAAAACATTGATTAGGAAAGTTAGAAATGATTAAAACAATATACACCAAATGCTATACAAGTTAATAAATACGGAGATGATAAAAACATTTTCAGAATATATGAACATATCGATGATAAATATTTACAGACGATATATTATTAAATTTGGGTAATAAATATTTAAATAAAATGTATTATGTTAAAATATATGACGATAAATTAAAATTATTGCTAATATAAAAGGCTTATCAGACACTGTTAGGTATGCAGCTAAAAATATACATAATCGATAGCATTCGTACGTATGCCTGACGTTATGGTGAATGCGCCAGTCAAAACTATAAAGTAATTTTAAATTTAAGCAGATTTTTGCTACCTAACAAGGAAACAACAATGAGCTTTGAATAAGCCTTTTATTAATAACAATATAGGTAGATACAATATTGATATGATACAATATGGTTGATGTGAAAAAATTCGTACGACAAAACATACAACAAATTCATAAAAAATATTTCAAAAATTACTTAATTACTTTGTATTGCTACAAAATCAGAAAATTTTTGAGTTTACCCTACTTTATATTTTGACTCGGTTCTTTGGTAAACTAAATATTTACACTCCTCATAAGTAATTTAAAATATGTATATGTTATAGTAAAAGCCAGAAATCATTGAACGCTATTACCAGTAAAAGTTTACATTCACTGATTTTCTAACACTACACCAGTAATAATTCAAGAAATAATTTTGAAACAAACTTTTACTAATGAATACTAGAGGAAACTAGTAAATACTAGCATTCAAATTTGCTTTGCCTTTTAACAGCAGCTGCCTGTAACTTAACATCCGGCAATTACAATCAGAGCTTACTATCTCGATACAGCAGCTCGCTGATCTTTTACGTGTAACATTCAATTTTAGAATCAAGACATTCAAAGCAATCAAATCCGTTTTAAATTTAAAAAAGGGAGCTAGAGAGTCGCGAAAAAAAAGGTTGAAATCAAAACAATCAAAACTTATTCAGACAACTTTGTGTGAATTAATAGTCAGTTACCCGGTAGCAGCTAGACGCTTGATGCTTTTTGAGGTTATGTATAAAGACTGTATTTTTATTTAGGTGCTTCTGATTTGTGATCGTTTTCTTGCAATTTTAAGATGAATGAATCAGCTTAAATGTGGAGGTGATTCAATGTTCTAATAAGTTTTATTTATTGCTATTTGTTGTTGCTCTTCCTATTGTACCGTATGATCGAAACGGCGTCAGCGATGGCTATGATATGAAGATCGCTGTCATTTTATATGGGAAATGTCATCGATCGTCATTTCCTAGCCAACTGAACGCCGTTTCTTTTCGATCATACGGTACAATAAACTGACTTTTTGCTAATAAGTTTTAGTAAATATCACTATAGCGACTGTTAACAATTATTTGATTACTGGATTTTCTACTTTCACCTCGAACATAAAGACGATACCTAATATGAAATAATACCTAATTATAACAGTAGATTTAATATATGTTATCAATTTCACTTAATCAACTTCTCCATGACTATACAGATGTAAATGTTTATGTAAAAATGCCACAACAATACACAGCGCTATGTACAACAACAATTAGTAAAGCCCATCGCCAACACCAGCATTAGTACGTGATTCAAACAGGCCAAACCACCACCGCAATCGATACACCTACATGACGGACAGTCCCTCTCGTCGCTCCTGTCTGCGCAGTCGAAGATGCCGTCGCACCGCTGGTCGCCGTGGTACGAGCCGTAACCGTCTGCGCATCGCTCTACGTCGTCTGCGCGCTCGCCTCCTGTCTCTTCTTCTCCGCTGCCCTCTACCGGTGGTTCTGTGGTCGTGGTCGTGGTGGTGATGGTGATGGTAGGCGAGGGTTCAAATGTGGTGGGGGCTGCATGTATCGTTTTAGCTTAATCGACTTGGATTGTAGTGTTATAAATGTTTTGTTTTTATAGGTATATAGAATTGTATATATTTTTTATGTTTCTATATTTATAGAAAATTATCGTTAGACAAGCGATACCATGAACTGTTTTTCAATTACAATTGAGAAAGTGATCAAAATGTCTAATAAACTCATAACAAAGTTGTCACAAAGAATGTTATAAGAAATTACATTAAAGTTTGCCTATTTTTTTTAGAGATTATATATAGATATAGCTAGGCATTTATGTCAATAAACATATACCTGATATAATATGTTGTCCAGATATCTAGAAATGACAAAAAACAATCTTCTTTTGAATTGAAATTGGAGGTAATAGTTGCCACTTAGTTGTAGTTTAAGATATTACGGGTAATATTTTTTAATGTAATTTCCTATAACATGAGAAATTACATTGACTGTTAAATTACCATAAGAATTAAGAATAAAATTGTTATATGTGATCATTCAACACATCTGATCACATTGTAATATAACCTGTCCAACGAGTCATTTCTCTCATTTTTTGAACGCCATCTGTCGAAATCTTCTTTGACTCATTGGGCAGACTATAGTTATAGTGCGTGTTATAATAAATTAAAATTTTTGATTTAGTTATATTTAATAAAACTTCACGGTATCGAAGTCTACAAGGGTAAAACTGATTAAAAATTATCTGTAAAAAAGATCACAACGAAAAATAATAAAATAATAAGTACATATTATATAGGATAAAAACAGCAAAAACATAGTTTTACTGGTTATATGTATATTACGTATTCCAACTGATTTTCTTCTAATTATACAGGGTGATTTACAATGTATAGTCATTTAAGGTATTTACGAAGAACAGATATAATCAGATCTTTTTAAAAAGTCTTTTACAAAATAACCGAATTATTTTCAATTTGCAATCCAGTTATTTGCGCATAAAAATACAGAACATCTATTTATTTTAATATAGAAGCACATATACCACAGTATTTTATGTTAACATTTCATTTTTGCTATCACAGCTAATATGGACGGAACCTACTTTGTAAAGACGGTATTCCAAACTCACCTAAGCCATATAGAGTATCTGAATAAAAAATCAATATTGATCATAATGGATTCTAATTTCCATAAAAACGCCTAACCTATAGTCGTTCATAAATCACCTTGTATATTAGTCACTATAATAAAGTTTAATTTACTTTATTTTAAATAAAAAAAAATCAAATTAATAAACAAATGAAATAAATAAAAAATAAATAAAAAAACATACCAGAAGGTGTTGTAATTGCGGGACAACCGTCTTCATCAGATCTGTCATTACATTCAGAAACATAATTACACCTAGCAGACAGCGGTACACATTGTTTGCTTTCACGACATGTTAGTTCGTCTTCGCTACAGTACGGTTCCCTATCTAATAAAAACAAAATAAAAATAATAAACAATAAAAACAAAACATAAATAAAAAAATAAATTAATAAAATTAATAAAAAATTGTATCTCCCTTAGAAAGTTTACAGTATTTACAGTGTATTTATACACATATACTGCTTTTCAATTTAATTGTAAATATCAGAGAGAGGTATATAGTATTAGAACTAGTAATACCTTAATAATATTTCAGTATTTTTTGGTTTATCTACTATTATATTTTTCTACTTATCCAAAAATGAAACTATGTAATAAACAAGGAAATGATAAAGTAATAAATAAAATATTTTATGCGCCAAGAATTATACAAAAATTATCAATATCTTTAGAACTTACTATACCTAAAAATATCACTGGATAAGTAGTAACATTACGATTCATGTCATAATAATATGTATTCAAAAATAATTTGAGACAGGCTAATATGAGTTCTATGACAAAAATATATAGTGTCTGGAGTGTCCAAATATTTAAAATTTAGGATTACAGTTTTAGAAAAGCTATCAATTATTTTTAGAGAAAATATCTTAGAATTTTGACGAAAACTTGACAAAAGTTTTTCATGCCACAGATTTAATCTCCTGAAACTTACTTACGATATGTAAATATGTTTTGCAAATTCACCTATATTTAAATAAAAATAGTTAAAATTTTTAACTAAAGTCAATATTTAGTTATTTTATGTTTTTTTTTCACAATTTTAAAAAATTTTAATTTTCAAAGAACTCTCCCAAATTCTTATCAGCTAGAATTACATGAAAATTTATATAAACTTACTTAAAGTATTGTCCAACGAAAGATTGATATTTTAACAGACAACATACAAAAATTGACAGAAATCACTGTCACGAATTCTTTCTTTGGACATACTAGACTTAAAAGTACAATACAATGAAATTGAAACAACTATAACTATAGAAGTTTAATTAAAAAATTACACAAATCATCAATGAATATTAAACAAGTTACTATATAGATTGAAGGTAAAATGTAGGTACCTTCAAAAGGCCTAAATATAAAATCATCAGGTACGGCCACGACAAAGTCCATCCTATGATTTCTGTTCAAGTTGTTGAGAATGTGGTCCCTGACTTCATCGTTGGATGAGTGACTTAAGGAAGTCAGATCTGCTGTAACTCTTACTTTGAAGTTGTCGTTCCTGTCTTTACTAAAAAAGAAAAATAAGGATTAAAATTCATAAAGATTTTCAATATTAAAATCAGCAGCTGTCTGAAAGGGTCTCAAGAATTTGTTGGTCAAGAAGGTTTCTTTGTATATCGCCTGTTGATGTCTCCTAGTTTTATTTAAAAACAGTGAAAATAATGTAAAATTTAGGGATTTTGGATGAAATAAATAGACTAAGCAATCAAAATACTATTGTTTGTCATAGTAAAAATTACCTAATGTCAGGGCTTACACATATTATATGACGACGTCCACAGACTGAAACCATGAAAAATAATGGAACAACTTTTCAATAGTAATTAAGTATACAGCCTGGCCTTTATAAGAGGAAAATCTTTTTTACTCTCAATTTTTCATAAAAATGATGCATTCTTTATACAAGTTTTTGCTTGTTCTAAAACTAACAGCAAAAAAATTAACGCTAAGCAAAATTAATATAATCAACTTTCAAGAAATGAAACTTAAATGATATTTCCATAGAAACGCGATTTGATTTTTAGAATTTATTTTAAGTTAGGCTCTAAACTTTAAGATTTTTAGGAAATTCAACCAATTTCTTTTCTCTAAAACGGTATGGAAATTTGGACACATATAAACGAAATTAGCCATTTTAGAACAAGCCTAAACTTATGAAGAATGCATTTTTCTCAAGTTGTTAATAATAAAATAGTTTTTCCTCTTGTAAACTCAATCGGGGACTATTGTATAACATATGTTACAAGTAGCAAACCAATCAATAAATAGGTTTTAAATTAAGTAATGGCATTTGAACCTTTACAAAATATTTAACTTACTCTATGCTGATTACTGTAGATGACTGAGTACCAGGAAATGAATCGAACAGTTGATCCAAAGATCGCTTCACCCTATCTGCCAATTCACGGAATTCATAACTGTTGAAATTGTTGAATTCTTCTCTGTATGGTTCTTGGACGGTAATTATAAATCTGTAGTATTCTAGAAGAAAAAACAATTGATTTTCTTGTACAAACTAGTAAAATATAAACAGAAAAATGCTAGATCGCAATATAATTGTTAAAATAGTTTATTAACAGAGATCAAGGCTGTTATATATATTTTTCTTGTATATGTTGGGACAAAACAAATCATTGATTAGTTTAAATGTAAATTTATGATTTAAAATAATTGAAATTATTAAGAAACGCAAATAGAACGTGTTTATTTTTTTATTTTATTTTTTTTTCATATTATGGCGGAGATTGACTTCAGCCAACGCTGTAATGTAACCTTTGTTCGTTGCTCGCGACAAGCGTTTCGTTCAGAAACCAGAAGCAAAAATCTCGATTCGAATGCTCAACTCGTTGTGCTCCAGCAATTTTGCAGCCTTTAAAAAAAGTCGAATCTAAAAATTAGAAATGAGAAGTGATACGTTTATTATTTTTAGCTAGTAGCTAAATTTTTAGCTATTTATTATACATATTTCTCACACAGCCAATTAACACACAGCAGCACTTTTAACCACAATTAAAACTACAGTATCTACTATAAATATGATTGGAATACTGACAATACTGTACGGACTTGTAATAATCAAAGAAATTCCCTAAAAACGACAGACGAGTGGAGCATCATTCGCGATTATTTCCCGGCATTGACTAGCGAATGCTCGTTGTATAACACGTTACATTAAAATGCTCGGCTCAAGTCAATCTCCGCCTTTGCACTTTAGAGAGTGAGGGTTTGGATTACAATCCATCTGACAACGGAGACGAATTAAATAAATTAAAAGGAACTTATGCCGAGCAAAAACTGAGCTTACTTGGTATAGGGCGCTCTGTAGGCACGGGCACGCTTTCAACATGTCTACCTTCATCGACTTCACCTGAACCTTCTCTTCCAGACCCGAGACCAGGTAAATCCTCATCATCTCTAAAATATCAAGAAAATTATTTTTTACAAAAAAAGAAATCAATAAAAAATTTCAAACTTACCCTAGTACCACACGAGGGTTCTCAGGGTCCTGTAACATTAAAAAATACAAATAGTATTTATATTATTTATAGAATTTTGCTTAGTTAGAACCATCCAAGCTTAAGATTGTAAACAAATGAAGGGTGTTATTAGATATTTAAATAATTAACCATAACAATGCCATAACATTGAATACCATTTTATATTTTATATCCAGGGCGTCACTAAATAAGTTCAAGTATTTTAAGAAGTAATAGATCTGGTCAAATATTTTTTTTATATTTTCCAATTTTAAAATAAAAATAAAAATGTGATTTAATTTTAAAAATTTAATAAAATAATGCTTATATTTTGAGAACCGCTGCGCCGGTATCAACAGACAATTAGCCAGCTTTATTGGACGCCCTGTGTTGCCAGGTTGAGAGATAAGAAAGTAACATAACTTAAAAAATATTTAGGAGAATTTGCGACAAGAAAATGTATTTTTGAGATTTGTCGGTAAACATAAAAAAACATGAAAAATTATCAAAAATATTAGCCTCGTAGTCCTGTTACTGGGGTCCTACTATACCACTACTTAAAATACTTGCATTTATATAAGACGCCCTGTAGATTGTGATGATGGAGCATTACAATAGTATCCTAGTGTGGAAAATCCTAAGAGTTAAAAAATATATTTCTTTATCAATTGGCAGTTCTACAAATAACAGATTTTAGAAAATAACTCTAATTCCCATATTTTAGTAATACTGCCAATTATATAAAAAAGAATATTTACAAATTATACATAGATAAGTCATGCTACTTGTCATGTTAAAATATTAATAAAATGTGAAATATATGAAGAATATTTAGATAATAAAGGGGTAAATGAAAGTTTGTGTTATTTTATGTTAGTTTTTAATAGTGTCAATACAAATAGTGAAAGAAATGGTTGATGATGGAAAATACTTATCCATTATGTAAATGCTTTAGTGCCGTGAACAAAAAAACACCTGATTATTCTCTAAGCTTATAAAAAACAACACGTAAAATTTGATAATATTAGTGCCACGACAATGGTACTTCACTTACATCAACATCGATATTGTCTTCGTCATAATCATTATTATTATCACCCTAAAGAAGAAATGTAAAAATTTTACAAAAACATTACATATATAGATTTTTTTGTGTAAAAACATCGAAATAGCCAATTTACTACTAAGGTAATATTCATTAAAATATTTTTAAAAAGAAATTTTAATAATTTTTGAATATCTAAAAGTCTGTAAATTGAATCTTAATTATGCTGTGTCAAAGTTATTTAATAATATTTATTGTACATATACAGGGTGGGTCTTAAATAAGTGAAAATTTTAGGAGTAGTATATTTCGACTCCAGAAACAGGTCTATGAGATTTATTTCACGAAAAAAAATTGAAGATTAGGAATTATTGTAATTTTTTTTAAATTTTTTGTTAAAACATAATATCTTGATAATATGGCAACATTAAAAGCAGATTAAATTTTCAAGAAAGAAAATCTAATCTAGTTCTAAAAAATAGCTAAGTTCTAAAAGCTTCTAGCTAAAAAGATCTAGTTCACAAAATTTAAGCAAACATTATTTTTCTTAATTTTCAAAGTAAAATAACTTGGATATTTTGGACTTGAACGAAAAACGGTAAACAGAAAATATGTTTCTTTCATCGAGACATCCCAGCCCTAAAAACATTTGCGCGTATTTAAGAGACACCCTGTATTTATACTGAGAGACTTTGTACTGAGGATAAATATCAAAATTCAAATGTATAGTAATAATACTGTGTGTAACGACATAATTTGGTATACTAAGTGCAAGAAGTGGACAACATCAAGTCAACTTACTGATCCCTCTAATTCTATTCTTCTATATGGATCTACTACGACAGTTCCCTAAGAATAAAACAATAACCTTATAAATTTAACCACCAAAAGAAAAGACATAGCCACAACATCTATTTTAATAAGTGCAACAACATAAAATATTTTCATTTAAAAAATAAAGATTACAGATTGCAGTTACACAACACTAAGCTACTTGGGTATCGCAAAATTCTATGGATATTAAACTTATTAACTATTTTTGGAATAAGTGAATTATTTCCTTTAAAACATTTGTTATCATAGCCAATTTTTTCGCACCTATTAATTTACACCATGTATATGGTATGGTATATACATATTCATATTTTTAAGATTATCAATATCTTACTGTAAATATATCAAAATAGTCATTATTGGAAATATTTTCTACTAATGTCCAAAGTTAAATGTGTGTTTTTTAAAAATTAAAAGAAAAAGACAACTAATTTGTTTGATATAAAAAATATAATGAAAATATCAAGTCCGCTCTTTTACAAATATTAAACGTGCTATCTATGTATACCGAGTGAGATGACATTCATGAAAAATTATGAAAAATTTCATGCTAACCGCGACCAATAATGACAACTGACTTTAATTTGTATACCAATGGTACAGTACACACAATTTGTCGTATTTTGATGAGTACCTTTTGAAAAATATTTAAAAAATTGGTCACAGCCGATAATGACAGCCAAATATTACATAAACTACTTATTAAACATTTTCTAGCTTTATGGTTATGGTCAATTTATGTTATAACAAATAAATGCCACCCATCAAAATGCAACACGCTGTATATAATTTCTCATAGTCCCTATTATGTATTTATTTATTTATGAAATCATTCCCAGAATAATCAAATTTTTAATGGTTTATTTAATATATTATTGAACTGAAAAATAAATATTACTAGAACAAAGTTTAATTAAAGCATATTCTTGACTCCTGTAAACTAAATATTAAATTAAAAACTTTTGAATAAAGAGATTAAGGAAGGAATATACCAACAAACTTAAAATGGAGGCTAATATGATTTCCTGTTCATCACTGCCGTTCTAATTTTATTTAAAACATGTAGAAATATAAAGTAGGGTAGACTCAATAATTTGTTGCTTTTGCTTAATTATATATTAAGAGTATTAGTTATTAAAAGTTGTTAAAAATATAGTTTTAATAAAAATAGATAAGATATAATAATCATTTAATAACAAAAATATCAGAAACTCTACTGAAACGTCTAAGTCAAATTGACGTATCCTTATTATTTTTGACAAGTGGTAAATAAAAGCGAAAATGCAATAAATGACATATAAGAAGCCTTGAAAAGTATCAAAAATTCAAAAAAATTGAAATCATATTAACTCTGTCAAATGAAACGTCAAATAGGACTGTCAAAAATGGAAGTTCATGATGTCGATTCCCAATTCCATCTCTGATGCATGAATACATGGATAGCATTATAATAATCCTCCTTAAAATATTTATTCAAAGTATAAAACCATTAAAAACCAGATATTATTTAAATTTAGCGCCAAATTTGATTTGCGTACAACGAATTTTAGTCACAACAAATATAGTGCATTTTCTTTAATTTTAAAGGTGCAGTTAACGAATTTCGTATAAAGAGTTCACTTACTGAACCACCAAATTCTATTGGTCCGAAGAAATTTGTAGAAGAACCCTAATAAAAATAATTTTAGTAGGTCAATCTTTGTCTGACTTTTTCTTTGTATTTCAGTACTTCATTTTAGATAATTTAGTGGACTTACGTTTTCATTATAATATTTATCCTCATCTAACTCATTTATATCCTCATATTGTCCCTATAAATTCAAAAATTATTAACGACCTTTTTTTATTTTTATTTTTTTTATTTATTTGGTCATTATGTTCAGACTTTTAGATGGTTAAAATGTAACAGACACATTTTAACACATCACAAAACATACATTGTACAATATTTCAAAACATTTTCACATTGAATTAAATCAAAATACCATTAGAAAAAACGGCGTCAAATAAGGCTGAGGAATAACAATCGATGATAATTTTGGTGAGGTCAAACTCTAGATGTCATTTCCTTGGCCCGTACTCTCTTTTATTTAATGGTCCTTACTGCCAGTTGGCCATAAGAAGAACGTGATATATTTTATATTGAGTAAAAATGATTTTTAAATAGTGTAGTTTAATATTCAAAAAAAATAATATTTTAGTAACAATAAATATGTGTGTCTGAAAACGTTCTATCCTTTTTAATCTTTCTATAATTAGTGATAAGTTTTTTGTCAATTTTTAATAAACGACATCTAGAGATTGACCTTGCCAAAATTATTATCGATTGTCATTCTACAGCCGTTTTTAAGCCATTTTTTTCTATACAATGTAAAAGTATAATTTTAAAATTTAGGATTTTTAAAAAAAAATCTGAAATATTTTAATGTGAATTTAAAAAGCACATAAACAAAATGATTCTAAAAGAAATTAGAATAAAGAAATTTTGATTTTGCTTCGAAAAATGTTCACTTAAACTTACATTTTGTACATCATCATAAGTATCTTCCTCTTGTCCCAACTCCTAAGACAGCAAGAAAAAATAGAAAAAAATTGTTTTAGTAAAGTTCTAAATATTTTAAAGTAGAAAAAAACATCACCAAGTAGCAGAAAATTATGCGACAAATCACAAACTTGGAATATTTAAACCAGTACCTAGAGGTTAGTTAGAAGTAGGTATAAAAAAATAACCAAAAACTAGAAAACAAAGTCAAGATTGTAAGACAGAGTAAAATCGAAAGCTTTTCAAAAAGCGTATCAAAAAATTCGAATTTTTCTGACTTACTTCCTCATTTTCCTCGTCAAGGTCCTAGAAAAAGTTATATTTAAAGAATGTTTTAGAAAAAAATTACTTAAACGATATTTTCAGGTTTACTTACATCGTAGTCATCGTCAGCTTGTCTATGATTTCTTAAGAGATTCGGGTGGTGTTCATTGTTTTCGAATTTCGATTTGGAATGGTTGGGGTTTTTAATTTCTTCGCTGCTCTTGTCATGGTGTTTTAGGTTTTTACCATCCTCCCTTTTTGAAAATATATTACCTACAGGAAAAGGAAAGATAAAATAAGTATAGAACAAATTTATTTTCTGTGATAAACAATAAGACTGCGACTCAACTACGCAATTTTGCCTTGAGGAAAAATTCTGTGTAGCAACCTTTAATATGTTTATTCCTAGGTAGTGTAGCTAGAGATATTGGCAGATATTCACCATTTTTCCAACTTTATATTAAATTTTAATAAAACTATTAAAAAAAGGCATGTTATGATAATTTTATGAAAAAAAGTGCTATCTAATACCCTTCTAATACACATCTCATATAAAGGATGTCCCATTTAATAAAAATCATAGTTTATACCAGACACCGTGGGTACTGTGGTTATAATTGATTTTATAATAAATGTTTTATATTCAAAATAAAAAGTTATAGTCAGTAAAATGTGGGACAAAATAAGATATTGCTGAACCACTGTATAAAAATTAAAAATCTTAATTTATTTCTATATACTTGATAACTGATATATGTTATTATTATATTTCAACAAGTTCAACTATTCCACGAGCTAAATGATTCACAAAAATATTCTTAAATCTCCTTAGAAATTCACAAAATTACATATTGATCTGTACAGCGTATTACAACGCTACTCCAGAGCTTAAAAACATATGTATAAATACAACCGAAGGTGATGATAAGGACCACTGGAATAGAAAAATAAGAAAATAAAAACATGATAATTTGCTGATTAACCTTAGCTTATACATTCGGAATCAAATTAAAACAAGAATTCCAAAGAACAAATTTTTGTATTCAGAAATATGTTGGAAAGAATATTATAGTTTTTAAGAACTCTCGTGTGAAGCTTTAGTGATTTGTCATACGGTGGCGCTTTTGAACATAATCGAAGCTCCCGAAATAAGTATTATTTTAAATTTGAGGATCATGCAAGTATGATATTTCTGTACGTGCCAAAGTCAATATTTTATTCTTTGATATACTGTTGTTATTACATCGGCATCGTGAAGTATCTGATAGTACATGAGGCAATCCCAAGGGGTGGCCACAAGGAAAAAAAAATAAAAAAAAAAAAAAAAAACTTTAGATTTTTAATTTTTTTGTAACTTTTTTTTTTTTTTTTTTTTTTTGTATACTTTTTTAAAATTAACTGAAATATCCAAAGCACCTGCAAAGTAGTGCATTAGGAAACTGAGAGTAAATAATGGAGAATATTAATCTGTTCTCCAAGATGAGCACCGCACAAGTACCTTTAAAATCTGAATCTGCTAAGGTAACGATAAAGGATGTAATTATACAAAAACTGCAACCACCAGAGTATGGAACCAGGCCAGATGTGGCGCATTCGAACATTAATAAGCGATTTTTGGAACACAGGCCCATGGTAGTGGAACTGGGGTGAAACTCCAAATCTGGAAGAGTCAGTATTTGAAATTTTGTAAGTGGTATTCAAGTGGACAGCAGCGATTACCCAGCTAATTTTTACATTCCATCCCTTTCTTTGTAGCTATGGGATGAAAAATGGCAAGTTAAAATCGGTTTTGAAGTATGACCCTTTTGTAGACGTTCCTCTTTTTTATGTAACAATTTAGCATTGTTAAGAAGTACTTTGGAAATCGCCCCTCAAGGTGTGTGGGAATGTATTGAACTTTCTGAACAATAAATTTGTCTGGCGGGAATATGAGAACTCAACAGGTTCCTTATGTAGCGTAAATTAATACTTAGAGGATTTTGGAATTCATCCCTTAAGGGGGTAAAACTAGGGGTGAAAATTGTATAATTTTTTATGTAAAAATCCGTTCTAGGACTAGGAGCATGAAATTCTGTTCAGAGGTCAGTCCCCTTTAAAATGACGCCAAGTGAGTACCTGTGAAGTTAATTTTAGGCAGGCATGCATCCCCAAAACAAGTAATAAAACTGGAAAAATCTATAAAATCGGTTTTAGGAAGGACCTTGGTGACGTTCCCTGCAACGTAACGTAATATAGCACTAAGAAGCCAAATTTTGGAAATCTGCCCTAAGGGTGTGAAATGGGGGGTTGAACGTTCTGGAACAAAAAATTCTGTTCAAGGAATATGAGAATTTGCACAGAGGTTCCCTTATGTAGCGTAATTGAAAAATTAGAGTGATTCTCAATTCATTCCTTAAGGGGCTAAAACTAGGGGTGAAAAATTCCCATAATTTTTATGTAAACCACCTAGAATCCAGGGTAAGGAAATTCTGTTCAGAGGTCCCTAAAATGATGAAAGTGAGTACCTAGTTGAATTAGGTGCAATCCCCAAAAAATAAGTGGGATGAAAATCTTGTGCCAAAATTTGTTAAAACTGGTTTTGAAGTGCATGAATTTTGTGCAGACGTTCCTATGTAACGTAATTTAGCACTAAGAAGCAAATTTTGGAAATTCGCCCTCAAAGGGTGTGAAATGAGGGGTGAATGTTCAGAAAAAATCTTTTTAGGAGTATGAAATTTTGCTCAGAGGTTCCTTATGTAGCGTAAATTAATACTTAGGAAGGATTTTTGGAATTCATTCCTTAAGGGGTAAAACTAGGGGTGAAAAAATCTGGCACCTTTTATGTAAAATTCGTTCTAGGACTAGGAGTTTGAAATTCTGTTCAGAGGGCCCTTAAATGATGAAAGTGAGTACCTAGAAGGGAATTTTAGGCATGCATCCCCTGAAAAATAAGTGATGAAAATTTGTACAAAAATTTGTTAAAACTGGTTGTAGAAGTATGAATTTTGCAGACGTCCCTTATGTAACGTAATTTAGAATTAAGTAGCTAAGCAATTCTCTTTGGAAATTCACCTCTCTATGTGGAAATGAGGGGTTGAAACGTTCTGGAACACACAATAAATTTGTTCAAGGAATATGAGAATTTGCACAGAGGTTCCGTATGTAGCGTAATTGAATAATTAGAGTGATTTTGGAATTCATTCCTTAAGGGGTAAAACTAGGGGTGTAACGCTAATTTTTATGTAAAATCCGTTCCAGGACTAGGAGTATGAAAATCTGTTCAGAGGTCCCTTAAATGATTAAAGTGAGTACCTAGAAGAGAATTTTAGGCATGCATCCCCTAAAAATAAGTGGGATGAAAATTTGTACAAAAATTTGTCTAAAATCGCCAGAAGCATGAACCCAGTAGACGTTCCTATGTAACGTAATTTAGCGCACTAAGAAGTAATTTTGGAAATTCGCCCTAAGGGTGTGTAGGAAATGAAGGGGTTGAAATGAAATTGATTTAATTTTGATTTTTTTAAAACTTTTTTTTTTTTTTTTTTTTTTTTTTTTTTTTTTTTATTAACATTTTTTAAAACGTCCCGAATTAATTCACTCGCGATTTCATCGTCGTGATATTAATCTTTTCGGTTGCGATTTAAATCAATTTCGTCTTGTTTAAATAACTAATTATTTTTAGCATTGTTAAAGAGAGTATTCAATGTTCAATCAAAGGTGTTAGAATCTATATTTCATTTTGTACATATGGTTTTCTTATTTATATTTTTTCTGAGAGAAAGTATTGTACATTTTCTTTTACAATACTTTTTAATATCAATTTGAGGTTATGACTCTTAAAATTTTAAGAAATCGTACAAATGAACACAATTTTCTTAAGGTTTTACGGACTCCCAAATTTATTCAAGCTTTTCTTGAGTGGATTTGAGCATTTGTAATGAGCATAATACTGACACAGATAGGTTTTGTACACTGAGATATTTAACTATCTAGTGGCTAGTAAAAATATTTTTTTTTTTTTTTTTTTTTTTTTTTTTTTTTTTTTTTTTTTTTTTTTATTATTATTATCTATATAGGTATTTATGTTGGGTCTTTTACTTATTGTATTTAATTTGCTTCAAGTAATCTGGACACCGTAGTAATGAATTTGCTTGGTGATGATTGCTCAGTTTTATTACAATTGCCTACCATTTTTTGTTGACTGGAAAGATTTTTTTCTTCAATTAGGGTTGCTTAAGAAGAATTCTACTTTTTATTTGAAGTACTTTCACTGTAAAGCACAGTTTTGAGGTTTTGAAGGAACGGAGATTTTTGGTATGTTGTTTGGTCGAAGTGTGTATGTTTTTTATGTTTGTTTTTTTTTTTTTTTTTTTTTTTTTTTTGGTATGGTTTGGTTTGTTGGGTGAGTTGTGAAGGCTGTTGTAATAGTTTTTTGGCTGAGGACTAGGTTTTTTTTGGTGTTTGTTGGGTTTTTACGAGAATGTTGTTTTGGGTTGTGGTGTTTTGTTGATTAGTTTGGGTATTGCGATTGTGGGAGTTTGTTTAGGGGGGATTGTTACGGAATCATTTTTTAGTGTAGTTAGTTTGGTGGTTCTATTTGTTAAATTTTAATAGTTTTGTCATTTCAGTTTAGCTTTTAGATATTATTTGGCATACTGAGTAGGTTTTTTTGTTAGGATTGTGAAGATGTTATCCTTGAAGAGTCTATACAGTGGGGCATGTTTTGCCGCTATGTAGATTATTACTAACTCAGCAAATTCACGGTCAATGACCAATGGTGGAGTTATAATCTAGACGTGATCTAGCTTATTTGTGTGATATATTTTGTTTGTTCTTTGTCACAATGGACAGAGTATTCTGGGCAATCCTGGGTATCTATGTCGCTCTATTAAATAAGGGAGTTTTCAGTCACTTATGTGGGTTAAGTAGAATTAGATTTTTTTATTTTTGGCGTTATTAGAGTCGCTTTTTTTTGATCGTTGTCTGATAGAAAGAACTTTATGGTTTGGGTATCGGTTTTACTTTATAAGATCGCCCGTGGGTAACTCGAGCTACTATTTGCTCCTCTTAGTCGCTCGGAATGTTTGAGGCAGTTTGATATTTTAGGTTGTCTTGGAAAAACTGATCAATCATTTTGGATCATCATTGATTGTAATTTATCTTTTTCCTTTGCAGGCATTTCATTATAATTAGAGGGGCCTATATCTTGAGTCGATAAAGATTATGTTATATTGTGGTTGTATTACTTCATCATGTTTTGATGTTTTGTAATTTAGGTATCATAAACTGGT